CCTGAGCTCCTGTCTCTCATCTCTGCACCACGTAGATGGAGAGGGCTGGGGTCGGGCACCAGCTACTCACAGAGGCTGTTGGCGGGGTCATTGTGGCTCTACAGGCTGCAGAGCCCCTAGTGCAGGGAAAGCAGTTTCTTTCTTTGTCACTCACCTCTAAGAAAGCTAATGGATTTGCATGTTTTTCTCAAAGAAATGAAGGTAGAGATTTTGGAGGATCTATCAATCCTGTGTGTCAAGTCTGAAAGCTCTCAGGTGTCATAGTCACGCACTTCACCGGGAACTGTGTTGCAGGAGCATTATAAACTCGCCAGCCCAGGCGCCCGGTGGCCTTCCCTGTGCTTTGCCTCTCCCTCTTCCGGTCACTGGCTCCCGGGCAGCTCCTTCCACCCGTGCTGTCTCCACCTCTCTGTGTCCTGTACCCCAGGTCCTGATTATGGGCTTCACATGTTGGGACTGAGACGTGGTACAGAGGGCGATTCTCAGAAGTCAAATTAAGATAATAGCAGTAGTGTAATGCGCTTCCAGACAGGCAATCACGGTGTCAGTTTCTATAATCCTTCTGTCAGCTCCGTGAGATAGATGCTATTCACACCCCCACTTTCAGAGATGAAAGTGAGGTGCTGGGTGACCCTTTCCAAGGTCACACAGCTAGTAAATGTGGCTACTCTTTTAAAACAAAAGAGAAATCACTTCATAGAGATTGACAGTGTAGTTGAGAGAAGAGAAAACTCATGAACAGGAACGAAAGGACCTCTGGGTGTGGAAGTGGTTTTGCCCAAATTAAATGGCGTGGAGGTGGAGGTCAGAGCTGCTGAGAAGGTCAGGGGCATGAGCCAGGGTGACACTTGGCCTCTATGCAGATGGTGGGCTGTCATGCTCCCAGGGCTGTCAGAGGGGGACAGGGAACCTTGAGTCAGGCAGACAGCAGGGTGCCCTGGAGGTACTCACATGGTGGGGACGGGGATGAGGGGAGATAGTCCAGGCTGTTAGGACCTAGAGCCAGAGTCCTTTACAGTTTCATTTTGGTTAGTCTGTGTGCAGTGCGTAATGATTGCATGCATCCAGGGAGGTGGCACCTGTGCAGAGCCCACTGAATTCCTTTTCCAGCCACTTCTCTTCCACTCCCTCCACTTCTTGGTCTCCTTCCCATTTTCAAAAGCTCTATTTTAAAAGTATAGAAGTGAGGTTTAAAAAAACTATATCTCAGAGATTTGCTGGTTGTCTTGGCAGTGAGTTGTAAATGATAGCATCTCTTTCCAGTGAGTGGGAGTTTTTCTTTCATTTAGGTCTGGAAATGCAGGCTCACAGCACTCCTCTCTGATGAGCTGAGGAGCAGACTCCGGAGGACTCGCATCCTCTCCTTCTCCCTTATATACTGGACTCCAGGTCGTGGTCATCGCAGTCCTGCTCTGGCTTTTCAGCGTCGCTGGCCCTCATCCCCACCTGTCTCTCCCGCGTGTCACATCACCCTTCCTCCCCTTTCCTGCCCCCACACGCTGCCCCTGCTCTGCACCCTCCGCCCCCTTCTGTGCCATTTTTTCCTTGATTCAGGTTTTCCTGCCAGACTTGCAGGGCAGGCATCTCATTCTGGTAAATACTGACTGAATCAACACTTTTCTCTTTAAATAGAAGCTGCAGACTTTGCTCCTAAGCTTCGTGAAAAGGGCAGAAACCTGGGTTCCATTAGTGCAGTTGACAAGAGACGGAAGATAAGGAGCGGGGGAGAGTCTGGAAAATACCTCACGGAGGATGCACTCCGCTGTTGCTGGGTACACAAGATAATCAGTTGTGGAGAAGTTCATGACCACGATGGTGGGGCCACTCTGCCCCTGCCCAGGCCTGATGAGTGAAAGAAAGCGGGGAGGGGGCTGCGCTCGGAGCCCACTTACTGAAGGCCTTGTTTCCAATGTCCATTCAGTGCAGAGCGCAGGAAGCCTGGTGCGTGACTCCTTGGTGCTGTCTAATGGGTGCCATAGACTTATGGGCTGTACCAAAGACAGCAGGTGAGACCTGAAGGAATAACCCCCATGCAGCGTCTGCTGGAGTATGAGCATTTCCCTTGGCCGAATGGTGTGTGCACATCGGTTAGCCTTTCTTTCAGAACTGCATTTATAAGGACCTCAAACTGTGGGTCAATTGCAAAGTATCCCACTTGCTTTGCAAACCAGTCTTTGTTACATGGGTTTGGCTTTGTTGTATGGTTTTGGTTTGAACAACCCATGCCTACCTTTCTATGCATTAAATCATTTCCTCTTCACAACCACCCTACAAGCGTGGAATCATCCTCTCACTGGAGCAGGACCTGACACTGGTAAGTGCACAAAACGTTTGCTAGATAAAGTTAATCTTTGAAATATGTATATACACACACTTAAAAGTGGAAAACTAAGGTTTAGAAAGGATTTTTGGCAGGAAAGGATACTGGGGATCAAACTCACAACCTTGTGCTTGCCAGGCAGGCACTTATGTCACTGAGCTAAAATCCCCAGCCCTTAGAGAGGATTTTAAAAACTGGACAAGACCAAACAGCTGTTGAGAGGTAGAACAAAGCTCTGTAGCACCTTCTGGTCAAAGCCGTTTACTTTCTCCTCCTTTTCCGAGTTTCTGCACACCCTCTTTGCTTATTGTCTTCTTCTTGGTCAGCAGGTGGACTGCTTGTTTCTGCCCAGGACAGGTAGCTGAGCCAGCCCAGAACAAAGGTGTGAACTGTTTGAAGCTATCCTTGATCTCCTGTCTCTTTTTGGGCTCCTTGTAATCTCTCTCCATCCCTTTTTCAGATCTTTAAAGCCACAGGTCTGAGGACTTTGGCCTGTGGGCAGATGAGTAGGTAGTAAACCTACTCACATGCTCCCTGGGGCTTTTTGAAGGCAGGGTTCTGACCAGGGCACAGCTCTATAAGGGGCTCTGTTTTAGGCTCTCCTGTCTTTCTAAGTACTCTATTATGTACACACACACACACACACACACACACACACACACACACACACAAGACAGACATGCTGCTCTCTGGACAGTGGCTGATGGAAAACTTTTGTAAAGAGTGATTATAAAATACATGACTTCAGAAGAGGAAGGCATTTTCTATTGTGGGTCTTTCTGGGGGAAGGGTTGCAATATATTTGCAAAGCCCTCTTTTGGGCCTTAAGCCACTGTACCAGGGGGTCTAAAATACTAACAACGTACGTTGAGTGCTTGCTATATGCCAGGCACCATTTCTTCTCATGCTTCAGCTGAATGTTGACAGTCCCTTAGCAATACTATGTCTTCAACTCCATTTTATAGATTAAGAAACTCCCAAGGAGTGGTAATCACCTTTCCCAAGAGTCCACAGAGGAGCCAAGATTCAAACTCCAGCAGCTTGGCTCCAAAGCCATTACTACATTTTATAGTATGGTTATTTTTATTACAAAAAGATTTTCCTTAAAAAATTACATATTTTTGTAAAACAAAAGTTTTTATTTTAAAGAGAATAAAACCAAACAATAAAACAGAATAAAGCCAATCAAAACAAAACAGTGAAAGGGATACAGGACTTCAAAATAGGATAATAGGAAATCAATAGTTACATAATTCCTCTTGTTATCTTTAAAATTGTTGCCCATACCATCAGACATAGGAAAATCAAACAAAACAGAAAAGGGTAAAACCAACCAGGACATTAAAGAAAACAAAACAATAAAATGGAACAAAACAAAACAGAACAGTATTGGATTTCAAAACCAAGATGAAGGAAATCCCCCATAGTTGCTATTATTGCATATTGTTTATCCTCTAAATAGATGCTCAGACACCAGCTTTAGGCATTCAAAGTCAATCAGAGAATACAAGAATTGTTTCTGTACCTCACTTGCTCTCTGAAGTTGTTTTTGCAACAGCCTGTGATCCTCTGAATCAGCTGGATGCTCATGGTGGGGAGTATTCTTGCCTCCCAGCCCGCATGCTGGCTCATGGGAAAGGCGAATTGGTTTCTTATTTCTCTTCCTGGCCAAAATTACATTCTTAAAAGAAAAAAAAAATTGTCCATAAGTAATGGTACTTCTATTTATATTTCTTTATGACAAGAGTAACACATGCGTAGTTAGGAAAACCACTGACGAATCCCTGTATGTCTCGCATTCCCAAGTCATGTTCTCATCCTCCAGGGAAATGAGGATGATCTTTTCTTATCAGTCCCTCAGGACAAACACTCTGTGCATAGAGCAGGGGACCTGCGATTTGTAGGTGTATTCATGCAGCACAGACCCGTGCACCCACCATGCTGCATGCTGTTATCCTCGGCTGATAACTGGCTCCCAGGTCCTTTCATTTCCACACTCAAGTCACTACTTTTTGAAATAGCAGTGATTCTCCCAGGCTGTGGTGCCCCAATTTACCCAGGTAAAATCGCCGGACAGTCAGGTGGTCTTAGTGGTGGTCCACTAAGAACTTACAGGCTCGTGTAAGTTCTTAGCGTTACAATTTTATTTCCCCATGCATGTGGGATCAACTCATAGCCTTCAGTGGTTCCAGTTCACACTCAGCTACTGACTTCCTTTCACAAACCCTTAATACATATTAGCAAATGTTTTGTTTTCTTTTGCCAATCATATAGACAAAAAAGTCTTTATTTCTTAACATTTTTAATATTATGAGGTTAGGTAGCTTTTCATGTATATTGCCAATTTGTTTTTTCTTTTTCTATCATCTGTCTGTTCATATTCTTTTCTCATTTTTTTTCATGTGTTTTTTATTTTGCATGAATAGCTCATAAAATAAATAATTTTTATCATGTATTATAAATATTTCGGTGTGTCATTTCTCTTTGACTTTTTTCCCCATAAGCAACTTCATTTTTAAGTGGTTAGATCTAACAACACAAATTACTCACTTGTAGGTACTTTAAATTCAAACTTCTCTGTTGCTTCTAAATGTTTATATCTGTGGTTTTTTTTTTTGTTTTTTTTTTTTTTTTTTTTAAGTAGAGGGCAGCTCTAACAATTGAATGAGCATCAATCCGAAAGGAGAGGAAACACTTCTAAATTTGTAATGTCAGTGGAAACTTTTAAAAGTAGGCTGTTTGAAATGCAAGAAAATCTGTGTGTATGTTTCCAGTCAATCTACTGATCTTTAGATCAAATATTCCTTTTCCGAGATAAGCACTTCTGGGGGGTTCAGGGCAGTGGACTGTAAAAATTAAAGCCAAAGTCCTGTTTAGTTGGAGAGGATTTCTTGGCTTCCTTGGCTGGGTCCCCACACCTTCTCAGCTGAGAGTCTTTCTAGGGCATCCACTGTAGAGCGGCTCCTGCTGATAGTGTGTGCTGTAATTGTCTGTATCCACTGTTCTAGCTGTTTCTTGAACATGGCTCTTCTCCCTAGAGACTGCTAAATAGAAGAGGTATGTGTATGTGTTGGCATGGGAGGATGGGGTGAGAGAATGGAGACTTGGTTCTGTTTTCCTCTTTGTAATTTACTGCCTCTATGTGAGGTGGGGATATGGATGCTCAGCCTGTATTAATTTGATCGCTTTGCAGTGGTTACTTACCCCAGTGGTTCACAATAGTTTAATACAGCTTAGTAGATGGTAGATTTACTTTTTTCTCAGAGACCTGGAGTGTTATGACCTACAGAGACTCTGTAATATTCCAAAAGCAAGCAAAAATAATAACATCCTAAGAGACTTGATTATAGGCAGAGTTTTAAAAATAAGTCTGGTTATCAGTCTTGGCACATACCCTTCTTGTTTCCACGTTTCTTCTCTACTTCCCTGCTTTACTGTACATGCACTGAGTGTTTATGAACATAGTGTTATGAAGAAAAGCAGTGCCTCTCAGGAGGCCAGCAGTATTGCCAGGTAGGAAACCACCAAAACTTCTGGACACCACCAAGCAGAGCTTCTTGACAATGGAAAATGCTTTGTGTTGCAGGAAACTTAGTCACAAGGATTTGGCATCACCAAGTCCCCTAAAGACCATCAAGTTCCACTTCCCTGTTCTGTCCTGGAGTCCCACCCAGGTGGCAGATCAAAGGCAATTTCCATGAGGGACAAAGATAAGGGTGACTTAAATATACATACTTTTAAATTCCTCTTAACCTCGAAAGGACCGGACAACTTTCAATGGCTAAATAGTTTTCTATGCCGTGTCAGTGTATTTCCATTGACACCAGAGATTTTTCTGTTGGTTATCCACACCCCAGTGGACGGATCACACACTCCATGGACCACAATAAACTGCTTTAGCTTAGTGCCATCCCCAGATCCCTATGGATATGGAATATGTATTAACATTGAGTATGTGCTTCGGCTTAAAGTTCTACTTTTAGAAATTTAGGAGTCAGCAAAAAGACAAGCATGGAAATTCACATGCACACATTTATCTATTGAACATTATTCACTGAACAAGAGCATGTCCAAAGAGCCAGGTGGCCTGCATTAGTTATGTAACCTTATAAATGTCATCAGCTCTGTCTTGTTTGGAAAAGGGACAGACAATTGTCTCTACTTCATAGGGTCTATATTATGAGAAGTAAGCAAGAATATGTAAAAGGTTCTTAGGATGGTATATAGTATTTGTTTGTAATAGGAGAAAAATTAGGAATACCCTACTTTTCATTTAAAAATATGGTATGTTTGAAAGGTATTCATATGTTAAAGGAAAAGCCAAGTAGATTCTGTAATGTGAATAGTACCAAAACTCAACCCCAGTTATTCTTTGCTAATGGAATTATAGACTGTTTTTCCTTCTTGATGTTATTTTCTTAATTTTTTTGCAAAAGAAGTATATTATAAACTGGCCTTTTAATCCTTGCAGAGTAGTAACAGCTATCATTTTTTTCAGATCTTATGCTTTTCTAAGCTATATATATGTTAGTTGCTCACAGTAACTCTATTAAGCAGTTGGTAGGATGATCATCTCTGTTTAACAGATGTGGTAACTGAAGTGCAGAGAGGTGAGATAACATGCCCAAATCCCTCCACCTGGTAATCGGAGGTGGAATTTTGACTATGAGCCACCTGACCCAGAGTTTGTGTGTTTAGACTCAATGCTCTTTGATTTCTGTAGCCACAAGAACTGCACTGAAACACAGTACCTCCAACAATGCCCCCGGTACATTGCTGTTTACAGGAAATGAGAACACCACGTTTGTACCTGCAATGGCAACTAATAAATGGGATTCTCATGTCTTCAGTCTTTCTCTTTGTTATTTTGCATAGCGAATTGGGAAGGTATATTAGATGATCCATTGAAATCAACCTACTGAGCCAGGCACAGTGGCACACACTTGTAGTCAAGAAGCTCACCTGAACCCAAGAGTTAGAGGCCAGCCTGAGCAACATAGTGAGACTCCATCTCAAAAAAAGTCAAACTTCATTTTCCTGTGTGTTATGATTTATATCTAGATGTCCCCCAAGAGCTTCAAGTTCTCATAAAAGGGGTTTTTGGAAAGAGATTGGATTATGGGGTCTTATCCCTAACTTGCTGTTAGGAGTCGGGGTTTGGTCAGAAGAGAAGGGTCACGGTGGGCATGACTTGGGAGCATTTATCTCCCTTTCTGGCTCCTTCCTTCACTGTCTCTCTGCTTCCTCTCAGCCATGCTTTGAGCAGCTCTCCCTGACCAGGCCCTTTTGCCATGTTGTTTCTTCTTTTTATTTATTTTTTATTAGCAAAGTGTTTTTAAATTTTTTATTGGATGTGTTTGTAGTACATAGTGATTGCATTCACCTGGGGAGTTGGTAAATACACAGAACATGTCTTCATTCTTTTTTTTTTATCCCTTTGTCCTCTACACCCTTCCCACTTCCTTCTTTGGGGCTGGGAACCATGGACTGAAATGTGAGCCAAAATACACCTCTCCTTTAAATTGTAGATGTTGAGCAACAAAGACCATGACCAAGACACTGTATACCTTTAAGAAGAGCTCACTGGCTTTTTTCATTGTATTCATCAAACTGCAAATAGTATATTTTTTAAAAATCACAAGCTACACTTCGTTGTGAAGTAACATGTGCATTTTTTACTGCCATGTGATTTAAATAGTTCTGAATTCAGCTGAAGGGCACTCTGAATGTGGTTCTAATGTTTTTCAGATGTGCAGAAAATAAGATGGCAAGGTACTAGAACAAAGTGATCTCAGACCCTGTAAATACCAAAAAATCAATGTATTGAGTCCCAGAAACAATAAAATATAAAACAAAGTTACTGTTTTTAGCTCAGGAAATATAATTACTGTAGATCAAAGGCATCCAGTGGTAATGGCCGATTTTTAGCTATTTTCTGTTCCTGTTTTAGAATTTCTGTTTTTATGTAGGCAGTTAAACTAGAATTGATGAGTTTTTGTGTGTCTTTTAAGGAATGAAAACTGGGTGTTTCCAAGGAATAATTTCATACTAGAAAATATTTTAAACCTAGTGGCTACACTGACAGGATGTATTTTTGAAAATTGCCCATATTAATCATTTAATAAGTAACCTGATAATTTGCTAGCAGACAAAGCTGGTTGAATTAGGCTGTCAGGAGTTGCTTGTTGCTGGATTGCACTATCAATCACCAACCCCTGCAAAATACTACAACTCAGCAACTAATTAAGTTCGGGGAGCTCTAGGAGTTCATTACATCATTAGACAAAGTCTGTGCAACTGAGAAGGAGTAGCTGGTCTGGGTCCTGATGAATTGCCATCCTAATGTCCCTCCTTATTCTCCTGGGAGCTGGGAGCTGGGAGTCACAGCTGTCATATGGCTAAGGGTCATTCTCCATCTCTTTCCCAGAAGACACTGGAGTTCATGGATCCTGAAGAAGACATTTTTCTCTCCCTGATTTGCCACAGCCAGCGTCCCTTTTAGCAGAACTAACGAACTCGATGGGAGAGAGGATCCTTTCACTGGCGTGGCCTCACCGTGGCCTGTTTGTTAGGGAGATGGCGATTAATAGTTGGCTCCAAAACCTCTGTCATCTCCAGTTCCTCCCTCTTGCCCTCTGAGGGTAAAGTGTGGTATCCCAGAAGAGCTCTGAGGATTTGGTCCTGCACAGCCCTTGTCACACACCAGCCTTCCGCAATCAGCCTGTACTTTTCAAAATAGTATAAGAGTGAGACTCATGTCTACCTTAGAGAGTTGTCAAGAATAAATGTCACAAAAAAATGAAAATGCCTCACACAGGGCTTAGGATCTAGGAGGCACTTAACAAATAATCATCGTTATAATCGAGGATTTAGATTATTTATATTCCCCTAGATCCAAAAATGGGAGCGGCCTCTGGTTGTAGAATAGAAGAATCACAAATTGTGTCGTAGTTAATTAACAAACTGTTAGTCAAACAAAACTGTGTGCCTAGGTCTACTTTCTAAAAGCACTGTTTCATCTTCCATTTCAGAGGTCCTATTAACTTACCCTCTCTTGCCTCTTCCCCAGCCAATTTCTGGAAATATTTCCACTATTGCTTTTTCAGAACTATGTACGTTTCATCAGAACAAATTTGTATTAATGTAATCACACACCCAACACTTATCTGTACTCAACATGTAACGTTGTCTTCATAAAGTATTAATGCCACGCCAAAACTAAGCACAATTCCAAATGTCTGTATAATTCACAGGTCTCATTTCTGCCATTCTGTTTGAGAAACAAAGAAAAAAATGTCCTGCTCTTGGGCAAAATTGTGCATACTCTTTAGAAAGTCAGATCTGTAATCAAATAGCGTGGGGGTCAGTAGCTTCGGAGCCCAGACTTCTCTCCCGGCAGCTTCTAACCAGCCGCCTATCTCCAGATCCGATGTGCCAGATTCAGCTGTGGCTCGATGCCTGCAGCCCAGAGAGAAACTCTTCGAAGAACTGCTTTGGAACAGCAGAGTGCATTTTCATTCTGCTGACGCTTTGGGCTGGCACCTTGCTGAGTGAGAGCCCGTCCCACGGGAGGCAGGCTCTTCTTGCCCAGCTTGGGCCCCTCCTGCTAGTCTGCTGGAGGCTGGCATCTGTGTGCCACCAGGCCGGCCGGCCCCAGCCTGTCTTTATGAAATGATGCCCTTGTGCCTGCTCCTTCTCCTCTCTGCTCCGGGGGAAACACTGAGAGCCTGTAAGCTCCGGAATCTGTCTGAGCTAGGGGGTGCAGGGAGGCGCGGGGACCTGGAAGGCGGAGGCCTGGCCAGCGTTTCCTCTGAGTTTTTTCCTTTCATGTTGCTCTCTTCCTTGCTGTTTTTCAGGCAGTGAAGCTGATTTCAGCTCGTCGAGCAGCACAGGCAGCATTTCGGCTCCGGAGATCCATATGTCTACAGCGGGAAATAAGCGATCCACCTTCTCACGCAAGTAGGCGTTGTGTCTGCTCTGTAATAAGACGCTTTGCACGGGTGACTTACCTGCAGCTAGGTTTCTGCAGAACCACCTGGATGACTGTCCGTTTGCATTTTGTTATTATTCAGTGAGGCTTTTGGTTTTGTGTTTTACAGGAATTTGAGGTTGGTCCTTTTCTACTTCATCTGCTGTGGTCAGGTGGCTCGGCCACGTCCCGCCCAGCCCAGGCCTTGTTTGTGTGTCCACCCTTGCTTCTCTCTCCTCCCCTGGGAGTTAGTCAAGCTGTTCTCTCCTACTTCCCACTTGCCTCTCCTTTAGGAGTCTGGTGTCGCCTTCTGTGAGGCCTCGGCCTCATCCTTCCTCTCCTCCAGCTGCCCCCTGTCTTATCTGTATGCAAGAGGCACTAACCCTGCCCACTCCCAGCATTGACTCTGGGAGGGAGGGAACAGAATGAGAAGTGCCCAGGCATAGGGCGCCACTACCGCAAGACAGAAAAATAGCTGAGCCTATGGGCTGTGGAGCTGGGCCACCTTGGTTTGAGTGCCAAGCCCACCATCTACAGGCTGTGTGTCCCCGAGCAAGCAGTTTACCGTTCCAGTGCCTGTTCCCTCATCTGTAAAAACTGTAGTCATGGGGTTTCTGTCTCATAGGGCTTCTGATTGGCTCAGGACTTGGAGCACAGTAAGCATAATCAGATGCTCACCACTTACATCATTTGAATTAGGGAAGGGGACGGTGGGAAAATGGAAGCCACCATTCACAGTGAGCCCCAGGAGTTTCCACCTGCAGCCAGTGTTATTCACACGTTCATTGAATGACTATTGTGAGACAAGGCTTGAAGCTAAGGCAGGAAACAAAACTCCATGAAAACTGTATTTATTTTAATAGGGCAAGTAAGACAACTAGATTATTCATGCAATTATTTCTAGAGCCATGCAGGGAAAGGACATCAAGAGTAATGGGCCTGAGGTATGTTCTAGATGAGTTGGTTCCAGGAGTCCTTGGTCATGATGTGACATCTGGCAGAGACTGAAAGGAGGGACGAAGTGAGCACACACTGCCTGGGGACACTCATCTTGTGACTTCAGTGCGTCACCTGACTGTCCTCCGCTATGAGGTCCAGATTTGTAGAATTTCAGAGTCAGTCCTGGAGAAAGGACTTGCAGTTGCTAGACACTTACAATTCCATGACTCAGGCACAACTTTGTGTTTCTCTTGGAGAGAAGAGGGCTTGGCAGATGTTTTGTTTTGTACCAGAATTTCAAATTTAGGACCTCGCACTTGCTGGGCAGGCGCTTATGCTGCTGAGCTATATCCCCGGCCCTGGCTGATGTTTATAAAGGGACCCAAGACACCCGCAGTGCGGATTTACTGTTGAACATAAAACTGAAGCCAGACAAATCTTCAAGAAGAGTGAAGTGCACAATAAAATGCACAGTTTCACTAGCCCCATGTCCCTCCTGTTTTGAAGATAAAATGCCCCTGAGATCAAAGGGCATGAAGATAAACATTCTCTGTGTAAATCACAAATGATTTGCTCTGAGAGCATTCATTCATCTAAGGCGTTCAAGAAATTAGCACATACCCATGCTGCAGAGAACATTTCCACAGAAGAAGCAATAGTTGTATTAAGCATTTCAAGGGAAGTTGGGTTTGTGGTTAAATTCCTAAGTCAGGTCAGTAATATAGGAGTTAGAGAAAATGTTCTAGTTTGAAATTCATGGTTTAAGTGATAAAACTATTATGTTAAATAGAAAACAGATAAATGCAGGTGTGTGCAAACAAAAGAAAAATTCTATGCCAAAAACTACTGTAGCCAAGCAATAATAATCAAAGGCTTAACAATAGTTAATATTTGAAATTGGTAGAGCCATTGGAGAGCAAGTTGGCAGCACAAAGAACAGGTGAGGTTGGTGAGAATACTTGTGACAGGTGACTATGAATGGTCTCATCTTATGGAAAGCCCCCCACCGCTCTCTCTAGGAAATCCTCTTTCTTAAACTAAAACACACACTAATTGATTAAGAAGCCCATTAACGTGGGCAGGGAGGGAGCTTGGAGTTTGGAGCCAGACAGACCTGGGCTTGACATGCTCACCAGGGTCTCAACAGCCTTCTGTCCTATTCTAGGAGATGGGGTCATAATAGCATTTCTCACTGGGCTGAAAGAGCTGTTACACTTGACTGCTTGACAAAGTATCCGGATGGTGATGATGATGATGATGATGGTGATGATGATGCTATTAGTGTCCTAGTGCAGCATAACACAGTACCACAGAGCAGGTACCGTGCAGTTTTAGGGACTGGGACTTCAAGATTAAGGTGTTGGCGAGCTGGTTCTTTTGAGGCCTCTCTTCCGGGCTTGTGGGTGGCCACTTTCCCCTGTGTCTTCTTTCTGCCCATGTCTGTATCCAAATTCTCTTTCATTACAAGGAGACAGGTAAGATTGCATCAGGGCTCACCATAACCGTCTCCTTTTAACTTACTTACATCCTTAGAACCCCTCTCTCCAAGTGCAGTCATGTTGTGAAATCCTGCGAGTTAAGGCTTCAACACATGAACGTGGGGGAGAGGGTTCATGGTCCTGCCCATGCATGGTGATGGTGGTGATGATGATACCGTGACTGGGTCATGTACTTGAGTGCTTCTTTGCTCTGTGAACATCAGTGATGGATTTTGGGGTAACCATCACATACGCAGCCAGTACCTAACACATCTGTTCACCACTCCAAAGCAGTGTGAAGCAGGAGATATTTTTGTAGAAAGTGAAGAGATAAGGATTTGAGTCCCAGCTCAGCTGTGTGTTCTTAGATGATTTCTCTTTCCTGCACCTCAGTTAACATCACGTGCAGAGGGAAGCATTCGCTGTGCCTACCCTGTAGAATGATGGTCCTGGGAAGTGAAAGTGTTCATGAAATGCCTGGAGCAGCGGTAGGGTCACAGGATGTGCTCAGCAAAGGTTAACAGCATACAAGTTTCTGGACCTAAACACAGGATAGGTCTTCATGATCTCTCCTAATAACTTGTAAGGGTTAATCCTCCCCATTCCCCCTAGTCATGTTAAGGAATGGGAAGCAGGCGTCAGGCTGAGAAGTCGGTCAGTGCTGGGGTACATGTTCCTTCCAGCCACGCGTGAGGATCTTCCTGCCCTGGGCGGCTGAAGTTGGCTTGTCACACAGCCATCAGCCCATCTGTTCCATATAAAGTGTCCTCTTGTGAGGGAGAGCAAGTCTACTTGGATGACTCCTAGAGGAAAGAACTTTTAACTTTAGAATTTGGTGGTTTCATTTCTGTGTAATATGCTGGACTGACAACCATTTGAAATTATATTTGATTTTAAATAAGCAGTTATGGTTTGGGAGCTGAGTGTGCCCATATACACACACTAGTATTTACATTTACACGCATTTCTTGCTGAGATGTGTCATTTGGATGGAGTCATAATTAAAATTACAAGTACAAGGCACTGTCAAAGTACAGCCATATGAAAGGAATGTTATTCCTCTTTTTTTCTGGTACTATTAAATAATCTGGTCAGGAGCCTTATCCAATTTGGATAATTTCAGCATTTTCCTGCAGACGCTAAGGGCTATCAAACCTCTGCAGCTGATAACAGGAAAGTCCAAACAAGCTGATCGTGTAATAGTAGCCTATAGTCCAGCTGCACTGAGTTTCTTGAATGTATTTCTATGCCTTTGTTTTTGCTATGTTTTCACATCAACTGAGAGGAATGGGTGGTGTGTGTGTAAAATGACTTACCTGTGTTCCTCATAAGTAACAGTGCCTGGGTCTAAACCCAGTCTGTGTATTTAGTGGTAGTCATTCAAGGAGCACTACCGTGCCAGGGAAGAATGGGGATGGGAACGATAGCTGTGTCCCTGCCTCCCAGGATCCTCCAGTCCAGCAAGGATGCAGTGGTGAGGCTTATAGCAAGAGCCATGATGGCAGTTTGCAGAGTATTAGGCAGGACCCAAAGGAGTGGTGCCTCCGCAGGTGTAGGGAAGGAAGAAAGAGAGAAGGCTGCCTGCCGCAGCTCTCATCAGTGCTGGAGTAGGAGGTCCTGGGCTTAGGGAAGGACGTGGGAGAGTCTCCGGCGGAGGACATTCGAAGTCCAAAACCTAAGGATGATTGTGCACATGGATGCGCCAGGAAACTAAGTCCTGTGGAAGGAGGAAGGGTACAGGGCGGGCTGGAAGCTGCCTTACAGAGCCCAGCCTTCAGCCTTCGTTCTGGGGGCACTGAAGGGCTTTGAGATGGGCAGCATTCAAATTCCTTCTCAGAAAGACTCTGGGGGCACACAGCCTCCTGCTAGAGCGACAGAAGAGGCAGGGTACTGATAGGGGCCATGGCAACAGTTTAGTACTTAGATGGGAAAGGTTGTTTTAAGTCATTGGGAACGGAAAGAGAAAAACAGGGGGTCCAAGTTATCTGTCCTGTTTTTTATTTTTCTTTTACGGGCAGCCCCCATCCCACTGGTGAACCACCTTCATTTTCTTACCCCAACACAAACCAAACCCAAATACTCCTCAACCTAAACAGGTGGACTGGAACAAAAACCACCTTCAAAATGAACCCAAGCCAGATCGGGACTCTGTACTGTGGGTGTGTTCTGAGCGGGCAGTTGGGGTGAGTCCACAACAAGCTTTGTGATGAGAAACTGTTTGAAAGAACAGAGGGAGCGCTTGCTCGTGCTCAAGACAGACGGAGAGAAAATGTCAGGGAGGTGAGAAAAGCACTGCTTGTAGACTGTCCCTCTGGTCTCTGGGAATTGGATTTCCCAAGCTGTGGCTCACACTCACTCAGTAGGAATTGATGACCCTGGCGCATGGGATTTCCAGCACAAGGATCCTAACTGTTGCTGTGCTTTCCTCCCAGCCGAGGTCCCCACGGGCGCAGTAATGGCGCTTCATTGCACAAGCCCGGCAGCAGCCCACCATCCCCGCGGGAGAAGGACCTTCTGTCCATGCTGTGCAGGAATCAGCTGGGCCCCATTAACGTGCATCCCAGTTACGCTCCTTCGTCCCCGAGTAGTAGCAACTCAGGCTCCTACAAAGAAAGCGACTGCAGCCCGGTCATGAGGTGAGACTTCTTCCCCCTCTTAACTTCTGTTTGCATTGTCCTAGTTGGGAAGCTTCTCTTTAAAAAAGGAAAAAAATAAATACACAACTCTTGACTTCGTGCCTTCCTCTGTAATAAGATACCTCTCTTTCCTTTCCTGCACTCAGCTAATCCTTCAAGGGTTGCTGCAGAGAGCACAAACCGCAGTTTGTAACAAGGTTCAGCTGTCCAAGCGGTCACTGCACAGGAAGGGAAAACAGGGAAAAGGTAGAGCAGCAGGAGGAGGAGACGCAGTTCCTCATCACAGAAGGCACACGTGTGGTTCATTCATTCATTCATTCGTTCGTTCCAACACCAAATGTTTACTGAGTAACAGGGACTGTGTTAAGCACTGGGAATGCAGCAGTAAAGAAAACTGGCCCTGTGCTCTCTGCCCAGAGAAGAAGAAAGGTGTGAATGATGAAGTGAAGTAAGATTATCCTGCAGGCAGCTCTTGCAGTGTGAGTGTTAGCAGGCGGGAGGGCCCAGGTGGGCTGGAGGGCTCAGGTAGGTCTTGTTGAAGAAGAAAAATGAAATGGGAATCTGAGGACAATCAGGGAGCTAAAGGCAAGGGATGGGAGGAGAGGGGCATCCAGAGGGTCTGAGCGCAGGGCCCCAGGGCTGGGACTGGGCGCAGGCCATCTGGGAGGGCGCCCAGGCCTGGAGGGCGGGGCAGCACAGTGGCTTGGACTGGGCCCAGCGTCCGGGAAGAAGCTGGCAGCCCTCCTCCTCCTGGGCGTCCCCGTCCTCATTACTCAGCTCTCCTACAGCAGGGATGCCCAGTTCTTGGCCAGGCCTGAGAAGGGCCAGGATTCCAGCCGGGGCCGTGTTTGCGGAACACTGAGCCTCTCTCTCACAAAGCATCCTGGCAAGAGCGTGGTAGTCTTGTTCCCTCCAGAAGCAGGAACTTTCCATTCCCACCAAACCAGTACGCTGGCTCACACCAGGGATTGATCTCAGAACAATTTGAATTCAACTAGTGACAAGCAGATCGGTAGGCAGTGGCATTGTGTGGGGAGTTAGGTCATCTTGTTCCCTTCCTCCCACCTCCCGCCCATTGTCCTTTAATACAAAGCGTGCCACTCTGAACTGCAGCCCGGCTGCAGACAGCTGTGCGTTATTTCATGAGATCATTCTTAAGCCGCAGACAATCCTACCTCTCCACGGTCCCCTCCCTCTCCACACACGCACACGCACACACACACTGCCCAGTCTTCTGGCAGGTGCACTGCAGTGGAGTGAGTCCATCCACTGCTGAGGTTTCCGACCCCAAACCATGACTTCCATTTCTTCTCCAGCTGTCAGCTGGGTGTCCTCTTGGGCTGCTGTACCAAGTGCCTTAGATGGGTGCGTTCTGCATGACAGAAGTGTGTCTCAGTGTGGCTCTGGAGACGAGGTCTGGGGTCAGGGTGCCAGCCTGGGCTCTGGGGAGGGCTTGTTCTTACAGGCAGAAAAAGAGAGCTATCCAGGGTCTCCTGTGGAGGCATGAATTCATTCATGAGGGTCTACTTTCTTGAATGATTGCATCCTAAAGACCTGTCCTTCAAATGCCATAGTTTGGGGGTATTGGGATTTCAACATAGGAATTTGGGGCCGGGGGTGGAGATGGCAGAAATGTGCAATCCGTAACACTGTTCTTTTCTTTGAAAAGGAAACAGGATAAAGTAGTACCTCTGTTCGTGGCTTGTTTCAGGCGGCCTGGAAGGTACATGTCTTGTGGAGAAAACCACGGTGTGAAGCCCCCGAACCCAGAACAGTATCTGACTCCTCTGCAGCAGAAGGAGGTCACCGTAAGACACCTGAAGACCAAGCTGAAGGAGTCTGAGCGCCGGCTTCATGAAAGGTGCTATGCATCTCCTGTGCGGTGGGGAAGGAAGCAGTTTCTTTTTTCTATCAAATGAAATATAAATCCAAATCACATAGAAAAAATGGTTTTAAACTTTGTCAAATTTCTTAAGCCAATCCCTGACCAGAGCTATTCCATAGGTGTTTGGGATTTGGCAGGGGGCCTAGCAGGTTAGTGAGACCCTTGTTTTTTTCTGGGTGTGTACAGAAATAACTGGGTGTGTACACTACTATTTTTAAATGGCGCAGAGACAGTGCAGGAACAATCCCATGCTTCCAGCAGAATGGGTCACCCGGTGGCCCCATCAAGCCCTGTTTATCTCTACAACTGAGCGGTGTGTGTGTACCCTTGATTCCTGTAAGCTATTTCTGTGCCGAAGGAAGAGGTTCATTATTCTTGGCCAAGCATTAAGGCTAAAAAAATAAACTAGCCCATGCTTAAGAGATCTTATCTCAGAAAGAAAAGGCTTTGTCATCTTGGAGACGAGCCAGGTTTTCTACTTGATGGCTAGAAAATGTTGGTTCAGAATAGTAGAGCTCTCGCCTGAGTGGCTGTGAGTTCAGGGTAAGGATACCGTCAGGCTCCTCTGGGAGCCTGGGTCTGACTGAGCACAGGGCAGCTTGGACTGCACCGACTGTCTGCTCTGCTCAAAGGGTATTGACATGATCCAGAGCCTTCGGCTGACGGTGGCACCTATCAGCCCACATATCAATCCCAATACTCTGAGTACCGGAAGTTAGAGGATCACAAGTTTGAGCCTAGCCTCGGCAATTTAACAACATCTTGTTGCAAAATAAAAAGTGAGACAAAAGTCTAGGGATGTAGCTCAGTGTGAAGGGCCTAGGTTCAATCCCAGTCCAAGGGGCGAGGGAACTTTGGGCAGATAACAGCACAGACTGTGAGAAGGCGTATTTTTCATCTTCCCAGTTAATGTGATTCTTCATCTGCCTGAAATAGACTTGAGAGTAAAGCTCATTTCTGGGCTGAGGCCGACTCCACTTTCTGGAAGTGTTTGTTTTATGATTCAAGGAGATCATGGAAAGATTTGCACATGATGGGAGGAGGAAGTATGAAAAAGCAGCAAAACCTGAGAAAATATTGAAGCCTGAACTTGAATACACATTGCTAACAGCACTTCCTATGTGTGAGGATCCTCACTCCCGCTCCTCCTGCCCAAGATAACATGAGGACACACATTCATACCACCTTGAAGACATTCTATTCTGTGTCAGGAAGATAGAGATTTGGAAATAGGTGCCTGTGGAGGTCTACAAAGTAGGGGAGCTTCTCCTCTGTGCAGGGTGGATTCTTTATCCTCTCACCTGGGAGGAGATAGAACAAGCAACTTTTTACACAGTTCTTACAATATGTGGCTTTTATAATTTTAAACATTTAGTCCTTAATGGCATATGATCAAAACAGTTTTACAAGGTTGTTATCATCTCAGCTTCTGTCTTTATTAGGTAATTAAAAGTGAAATGGACTTTCCTACACAACTGTTTTAGGTATTATAATATGCAGGCCACGCAGATAAAAGCAGGCTGAGAGATTCTACTGATAACATTTCTATTAAGCACCTAGCAGAGAATGCTTAACACACATAGTGAATACTCAAAAAATAAATAAATAAATAAATAAATAAATAAATAAAAGAAAAAAAGAAAAGGAAAGGAGAAACTGTTGCCTATTTTGACTCTAATTCTGGTTACTATTACTACTTTACCTATTTTACAATTAGAGGAGGAAGTTCATAGCTTTAAATACCTGCCACATAAAAACATCCCAAAGCTGACTTAATGTGCGTACTTGGAGAGGAAGAGCGTGGGCCCTGGGCTGTGTGTCTCCACTGCTTGCTGCTGGTTCCGAGCTGCCCTTGGTATTCACTGTGCTTCTCTTCCCTCTAGGGAATCAGAGATCGTGGAGCTCAAGTCCCAGCTGGCCAGAATGAGAGAAGACTGGATCGAAGAAGAGTGCCACCGGGTGGAGGCCCAGTTGGCACTCAAAGAAGCCAGGAAAGAGATTAAACAGCTCAAGCAGGTCATCGAGACCATGAGGGACAACTTGGCGGATAAAGATAAAGGCATTCAGAAGTATTTCGTGGACATCAACATCCAGAACAAGAAGCTGGAGGCCCTGCTCCAGAGCATGGAGATGGCGCACAGTGGCTCTCTGAGGGATGAACTGTTTCCGTGCGATTCCCCGAAGAAGAGCTTACCTCCCATCACCCCTCTGGGCAAGACAACAGACGGCTTCTCCTTGGAAGAGCAGGTCACAGAGGAGGGTGCTGACAGTGAGCTGCTGGTGGGAGATAGCATGGCTGATGGTGCAGATCTGTTTGATGACATGGTGACAGCTACCACCACAGAATCTGGTGACCTGGAGCTGGCCCGTTCCACTCCGGAGGCAGAAGTTCTCGACGTCCTTCCTCTGGCCATAGGGCAGGAGCAGGCCAGTGTGGTGGTGGAGCAGGCCGTGCAGACTGACGTGCTGCCCTTCAGCCCTGCTGTCTCTGAGCTCATTCAGAGCATGTTCAAGCTCCAGGACTCCTGGCCCTCGAGCTCGGCATCCCCTGATGAATCTGGGGCTGACTCGATGGAGAGCTTCCCAGAGTCCATCTCTGCCTTAATGCTTGATTTAACTCCAAGAAACCCGAACTCGGCCATCCTTCTGTCTCCCGTGGAGACCCCATACAGCAAGGCGGTTTCAGAAGCTCCTACGAGCCGCCTCATGCGAGAGCTGGATTTTGTGTCCTGCACTGCAGATGAAAGGTTGGATGGAGTCTTCCCGTCATCTCAGGGGACCCTCTCACGGCAGTACTGGAGCAGCAGTTTCCTGGTGGATCTCCTGGCTGTGGGCGCCCCTGTGGTACCCACAGTTCTGTGGGCATTCAGTACTCAGAGAGGGGGAATAGATCCTGTCTACAACATTGGAGCCTTGCTCCGGGGCTGCTGTGTGGTCGCCCTGCATTCTCTCCGCCGCGCCGCCTTCCACATGAAAACCTAAGTCCCTGTCCTTACCCTGTGCCAATTTGTCCCGTTTGGCATTGTGCCAGGTAGAGAAACAGCAGGTGGAACCGTGGCAGTCTCTATTCTGTCGTTTTGCTCCTTGGTATTTGATTTGCACTATAGTTAGTTGAAGCCTGTTCACTGTTTAAAATCGGAGGTATCTTCAAAGGCATGGAGACCTGGTCCCAGTAAACGTCTCACCGGTGTGGTATAGAAAGCATGCTCGTGACCCTGCCGTGTCGTCCAAGGTACCCGTTCTTATCCTAGTGGTTCAGGAAGAGAAAATGCAGAGTTTGCACTTTCAAGACAGCTTCTCCAAGGCTGGCATGTTATCTCCTTGCTTTGCTTTGTGCCGTTTTAAAATGTGTAATTGTTCCAGCATTCCAATGGTCTTGTGCATAGCAGGGGACTGTAACCAAAAATAAAAATGTACTTGTGTAACTGGGTTGAAGAAGTCTTGAATAGCTCTTTAGTGTTTACTTGGGGTGGTAAGGTTTGAGTGTTTGCAGTTTTTTACTAAATGTAGCTCCAAAGTCTTCAATGGCTGTTTGTTCTTAAACCTGTTAATTGATGGAATCGTATGTAAGTTTACAATGTACTAACTTATTTTTTGCTTATTATATATAGTGTTTTATTGAAAATTGTTTGTAAGCACACACTTCAGCATGATGAAAATAAAGGTTAGTGTTTTCGTTTAAATAAATGTTTTATCCTCCTACAAAGTAATTGTCTGTGAGTTTACTTCTACCTAGGGTAAGAATGCATGCTTCTGTCTTTATCAGTAGTTTTGTAAAAATGGAATTAACTTAAAAAGTAAGGGAAAGTAACTATTAAAGGGACACATTTCCTGTCCTGACATAAAGCTATTTTTATTCAGAAATGTTTTTCTATTTGCTTTTAAATTAGCCACGCACTTGTTTGCCCATGTGTGTATTCAGTGAACATTTCTGATGTCAGGAAAGCTAGGATGCTTTCTTAGAAGCTTGCAGGGTGCACAGGAAAAGCTGCACCCTTCCTTGCAAAGACAGGTATGGTGGGTTGTGCGAAGAGGTAGTATCTGATCTGCATCAATTCATTCCCCGTGCAAACATTGAGAGATGGGCATTCTGAGGTGCTAAGTCTCTAAGCAGCTCAGGCTTTTATAGTTCAGCTCTAGAAACCAGAATTTCAGGTGTCTGCAAAATTTTAGGTGTCTCCTTAACCATACAGAGGGAAAAGACTGGGCAGGAACTCTAAATTCTTATCCAGAAGCTCTTCTTCCATAGCACTAGCCACTTTTAAACATTTTTAACTTTATATTTTGGTTATTAATTACACAATAACCACAGAGTAGGTTCTTACATACTAGCTGGGTACTCACTGGGCCTGTCACCAACAGGGAAAGAGACAGACGAGGTGTCTGATTGCAGGAGCTTGCATTCTGTCTGCGAAAGACAGTGCTTGCTAACAAGACAGTTTTGGATAGCAGTTAAGTGCCCTGAAGGAAGTAAGGTGTTTTGACCCAAGGTGCTAGGGCTGAAGTAAGAACACCTCTGAAGACGGGAGCTCTCTGCAACAGGAGCTAATGAACGAGAAGAGCCAGTCAGTGTGGTGCTGTAGCAAAATGCTGCAAAAAGAACAAATGCAAAGGCCCTGATGCTCCATGAGCTACATGACTAGATGGGAGAGGGCGAAATATAGCGCACAACACGCTGGTACACCAGGACGGTATAAACCACAGTAAAGGTCTGAAAGTTGGCAGTACAATGAGAAAATACTGAAAGACTTTGCAACAATCATGTATTTTTTAAATTCTATGCCTATTATATGTAGAGAGCGTGATGCAGGCAAGAATGGGAACAATGGGAACATGCAAGGTTCTGCTGCTGTAGTGCAGATGAGACACCAGCACTGCTGGAGGCAGATGGAGACACGGTGACTGACGGAATAATCAAAGATGATCGAAGACAGAGCCTGTGTGACTTACTGATGGACTGGGGAAGGAGCAGGGTAAAAAGGAAAGAGAAAATTCAAAGATAGCTCTGAGGGTTTTGTTACGGAGCAACTAGATCTATCCTAGTGCTGTTTGCTGAGAATGGGAAGAGTTCAAGAGGATGTTTGTGGAATAAAATTTAGATGTCTATTAACCTGTGTGGAGCTGCACACAATGCCACACACCTGTAATCCCAGCTATTCGGGAGGCTGAAGCAGGACGATCACAAGTTCAAGGCCTGCTTGGGCAACTTGGCAAGAATTTGCCTCAAAAAAGGTGGGGGGGGGCACTGAGACTGAAGCTTGGTAGTGCAGCCTAGCATGAGCAAGGTGTTGAATCCAATCCCTACAGTGAGAAAAAGAAAAATTATGTGGTGCTACATATGTGAATGTGAATATCACAGGAGCATCCGGTAAAGTTATAAAATTGGTGGTGTTTGGTTTGGCACAGTATTTAAACCAATGGAAACAGATGGGATTATCTAGAGTTTACAAAAGAAAAGGTTCAGAATTAAGTCCTGTAGTACTTCTGCATATTGATGTAAGTGGAGGATGAAGAATCACCCAAATGGCCAGAGAAAAGGCAGCCCAGAAGGTTAGCAGGAAATAAGGAGATTCAAGGAAAAATGTGATTCAAGAGGAGTGGTCTGCTGTGTCAAAACCATCAAGCGAATGAATACAATGAAAAGTTCCGTATCCACTGGCTTTGACAGCGAGGTCTTCATGACCTTGTCAAGATCACTTTATTTGGAGAAAGAAGGATGGAAGCCAGATAGGTGCAGGTTAAAGAGTGAATGCAAGGCAGAGTTTAAAGGTGTGTGCAGCTACTTTGTTTCATTAAATTTTACTATGAAAGGAGGAAGGGAAATGAGTAATTACAATGAAGTACTAGGTCAGGGTTTGTTTTATCCTTCAATACTGAGGAAACCAAATATGTTTATACAGCTTGATAACTGAGCCAATAAAGGGAAAGAAATTGATGATGCAGGAAAGAAAGGGTTAGGTGCAGAAGATGAGAAGGCATAGGATCCAGGGCACACCCCTTTGGACTTACACAGCACACGTTCTGCAGTTCAGTTGGTAGTGGAAGGACAGGCTGAAATGGAAGAGAAACTCTTTCTGAAGGTGAATGCTCTGAAGTGTTTGAAAATAATGACTTAAGTCTCTTCTGGTCATCTGGCTCAGGCTAATATCTAGATCATCCTAAATCCTTCTGTGTGTTTACTGTATTTTAGTCATTGCTGTCTGAAAGCATTTTTAGGATGAGAAGCCTCTGTTTGGTATCTGCTTCTGCTACAGAAACAAATACAATCACACTAACTCAGCATTGCTGCTCATTTAAACATGGATCAAAAGGATGGACTCCAGCAAGAATTTCATGAATCACACATTTTTGTGATACTGGAAGCAGGTGATCACCAATACCACGGGGTTTTGTCGTCTCAACATCTGCATCCTTCTTTGCGGAAACCAAATATTCACACAACGTAGCCCATTTAAGACACTCACATTGTGTGTCCTGTTCACATCTGAACCAGTGTGCACTAAGGTAAAGCAGCAGATGCTGGAGCAGGTACTACGTTTCCTCCTCTTCCCCTTCCCTAGGCTACTCTTCATCCCTGAAGATTCCACTGTACACAGTCTGTAGAAAACTACTGCTTTTATTCAGAACAAAGTCTCTCACACATGAGCCCATTGGAATAAATAAAGGATGGAACATGCTTAACTTTCAGAAGCCTAAGGCGTTGGCTGCCTTTGTGGAGAGGAGATCTGACCCCAGAAAGAATTGCCTCAAAGTTGCTTTCAGTAATTTGAGTGCCTGTAATGTTCAAACAGGCAGGAAAGTGGAAAAAAAAAAAGAGTAACTCCACTCTATTGAACAAACTGCTGTACCATCAAAACAAATGTTAAACACTTCCTACAGTTATGTGTATAAATATTCCGATTTATAAGGAAAGATTTTTCCCCAAGGGTTATGTTGACCTTTCCAAGTGGAGCTGTTCAGAAAAGGAGGGACAATGCGGGGTACTCGGAGGCCAAGCATTTCTGACATTTGCCGCAGAAGAGACAGGAAGCCTGTGATTTGCATTTATCATTGTTCCTGACCAAGCAGCTAGCACTGGCAGGTAGCTCGAGAGTTTTTCATTTTGAAAGGTGCGGGACAGTTTCCTGCTTCTATTTCGGATCAGTGAGTACTTACTTTTACAGCTTTCTCACCCTGCCAGTGAAATGCACAGTGAGGGGTGAGCTAGGAAATCAACAGTGTACAGCAGTCAAATTTTGAAAAGCCAACACTAACAAGCAGTTAGTCCAAACAGTAAAATAAAAAGGGTTTATATCAGGTACTTACTTTCACACCAGAAGAATCACTGCTGTGGTCACTGATTTCCCCACAATCATGATTATTATAATGAGTATAGCAATTATTCCAAGAATATTTAACATTTAAAAAGGTTTAAATACTACTTTAAAGAGATGCACTGAAAGACTGAAATACTTCAGTAGCATGCAAGTTTGTTAAAAGGTTTATTTCTTTTAAAAGGTGTGTGAAAGCTGAAACACTGAATATATAAAACACAAGTGAAATGTCCAGAGTACGGAAAGTAGCGGGTCTGGTCGTCCGCCTCCCCCTCGTTCCCTACAGTGAACCTGGACCACCTTTGAGAGCAGCGTGCACACCACTTCACCATATGCCAGATGCTTGGAAAATCGCCAGATCTCAGTGTGGGACCCTCGGTTACCTGGGAGAGTACCACGTTAACACTAAAGACTCAGTTCTCTACTGATCTAAATGGTGAATGCTTCATGGGACTGTTTTCCAGCCCTTCCTCACAGAACAGCACGGTCAGTGCTGTCGGTTTAACTATGAGGAACATTCACCTCTCACACAGAGGCCACATAAGCATCGAGAGCCACAGGTAGTGTAACTGACTTAAAACCAGTGCCCAGGCTGTCCCTGTAAACATGAGATGGGCACCGCAGCCTCCTCCTCAGCCACCCAAACACCATCGGTGCTTCAAACAGTCTGCCTGTTTCTCTTTCTCATTAAACAACAGGTGCTGGCATTTTAAACTGACCTTTGATGCTTCCAAAACAGCACATTATTTCTGGCTCTTCATCTGTATAGAGAAAACATGAAAGCAGGCAATAATTTTCACAATCTCTCCCTGAAAGAAGTGAAGTGAAAAAGTTTTTTCTAAATGACCATTCATATACTACTTTATGCCATAAGGCTCCTTCTAATCAAGAGAGATCAGGCAATGATAAAGTCCCAGTACAGCAGAGAGGCTCAAGCAGTAATAAGAGCTCTTGTTTTTGTGTGCTCTGAACACAAGGTAAATATACATCATTATGTTCACCTTTAGTTAGCACTGTAGTACAATTCTGAGTAAAAAAAACTTTTTTAAAATGTACTTTGGAGGTCTAATTTATCTAACAATGGTACCATTTTGCTCCACAAAATAGGTAACCAATGGTTTTATTCAACAGGTTGCAAATTGCACTGCTGTATGAGTTACGGATTCAAATTACGGTTGAAATATTTTAACAAATGACATTAGTAGCAGTAGTAAATATAACTAAAACTGGCCTAAGAATATGTAAACATATCACTGGTAGTACGTTTGAATTTTCTATGATTTATTTTCTGTCACTTGCAACCAAATTGAAATGATGCAGATTACTAACTGGGCAACATTAAATGCAGTTTGTAGCAGGAAGCATCCTACATAAAATCCTGGTCTGTATATGG